TTTGAAGGTTTTTTGTTTTAATCGTAAATATATTTTTATAAGAATTAGATGAATTAAAAGCTGTAAATAAAATTAACCAAATCTTTAGATTGAAAATATTGAACTATTGCATTGAAATTAGTAGTTCTCAAGTTAGTTGGTGATTTTTGTAATAGATAGGTATATTTAGTAGTATATTTATTTAGATAAATAAAAATAATTAGAAATAAATAGAAGTAGGTTAAATTATTGATATCTTATTAAAAATCTTCATAGACTTTACACATGTTTATAAGTGATAGGTAAGTTGAAAACTTGGCTAACAAGTTGGTCACATGCCACATATTTAACAACTTATAATACAAATTGGCCATGTGGCGCACATGTCAAAAACTTATCCTAAAAATTAGACATATGTCTTACAAATTGGACACATGTCATATGGCATATATAACAATTCTACATAGTTCTTTTAGTAAATAGTATATATAGAGGAAAGAATGAGGCCTTCCTTATTACTATCAACGTCTTTCTTTTATTCTATCTTAGTTCAAGACTTCTTAATCCTTTTGAATTTGGCAATATCCATTCTAGTTTCAATTTTACATCTATCTTTTACTTGTCTATTTTATATCTTTAGGTGATTAAAAAGTATATAGTTATTTTTAGAATTTTTTTATCATTCACGTTTAAAATATATATATATTATAAAAAATTATAAGATTACAATATAATAGTATCTACTAGAGTAGAATTTTAAAAAATAATAAAATAATAATTTATTTATAGAATTAAGTAAAAAGAAATTGAATAGTATTAAATTTATTAATAACATATAAATATATTTGTGGTTGAAATAATAAACCAAATTGATAAAAATCTATACTCTGTTGCAATTCTAATCTTAATCTTACATCTTTTGTGTATATAAAATATTTTGGTTTTTAATTTTTTCTATATCAGAGCCCATATAAAACCTCTAAATAAGTCATATTTGAATTTATTTCTATTAATGAACAGAATTTGTTTTGATGGTTTATGGTTTATACTTTCTATGTCTTAAGTTTATTAATATAATATAATCTCAATTGAAATTAAAATGATCTAAAGATATAATAGATTATAATCTTACTTTTACATCTAATAAAAACATATTACATATCAAAAAAAAAAAAAACAAACAAACAAACTGTAGGATTGAGTTAGGTAAATTTTTGTATAGAGAGTAAAATTATAGATACAATATTGGCCTTTAAATAGTAAGTTTTGAATAATTATTGAGTTAATATATAGATTCTTGAATTAAGAAATTATAATTGATATTTTATTTATTTTATCAATTTTGCAATAATGCAATGGATCTTAAAACAAAAAGAATTATAATCCATTTATTTCTTTATATTATCATTTTTTGTATATTTTATGTGACAAAGTTAATAAAATAAATTAAAAAAATTTTATTCTTTAAGTAATACTTAATTAATTTTTAAAAATTAATTTATTTAAAAAAAATTATAAAATCAATATATATATATATATATATATATATATATATATTACTTATAAGATAAACATAATATAAATCATATCTAAGAATTTCTTATATTAATCCTTTTACTTATTTTCTTTTGCATAAAGTCATTTTAACCCTATATACTCTTATAAAATCAATTTTTTTCTTTTTAAATTATTTTTTTAAAATAAAAATTACTTTGTGAATAATATTGCAAATATAAAATTAATAAATCTTAAATAATTATTTTTATTAAAGTCTATAGGTCAGCTAATCACTATTATTTATTTATTTAAAATCAACCTTCACTACTCACCTACACTTTTGATTTCCAACCAACACTCAACTTGTCTACAATTTTGTTACCTTCTTGACCTTTATTCAAATCTTAATCACCTTCTATATTCTATATTATATTTTCAATTTCTTATATAAAAAGAATTATTTTTTCTTATCTTCTTTATTCCATTATTATTTCTATTATTGTCAAGTTGGAAGCTTTGAATTATTTTTTAAAATTATATTCTTTAGTCTCCTTGATTCTCATATGAAGCAACTAAAAATTTGTTTTTATCCGTTACAGCTATCTTGTTGTATCATTCTATTTTTTTTCTTTTTATTTTCCATGTTAAAATGCAAGAATTTCTATTATATTATCATCTTATATTTTAGGAGTTTCTACATTTTTTTATCTTATAATTATATTAATTACAAGTTCTAATCCCATTTTTTTTTATGGATATTGTAATCTTTTTACAACATGACTTTGCATCAAGTTGTATAAATTTTCAATTCTTTATCAGCACTTCAAGCACTAGAAGCTTGAATTTTATTTTATTAATATTAATATTAATATTAATATATTTAAATTACAATGAATTAGGATGCCTTAAAATCTAGATAAAAAAAATGCAAGAATTGATTTTGCTAATAGTAATCTAAAAGTTGATACTACTCTACATGCTCATTAATTCAATTTCTAATCAAGAAATTTTGAGATAATTGAGAACTTGAATATTTTATAAAGAACATTAAAAATTATCAGTCTTTTATAATTTCTATTTTTGAATCCCATAAAAAGTTTTTGTAATTATAAATAAACTACTTCCAAGCTACTTAATCAATTATCAACTAGTTTTATTTCCTACCTGACTTAACACAATTATAATGAACCAATGCCATTATTCTTATAAATTCTTAATTCACTCAGATTAAATACTATAATTTTAATAAGAATCTATAGAAAGTTGTTACTAAATACTAAATACACAAGTAACAAACAAGGATAAATGATTAATGATTTTTGTAGGGTATGAAAGCACTTTTAGTTCATTTATCTTTTGATTCTTCTATTCTACCATCACAATAATTATTTCAATTATAAAGAAATTTCTTGCACATTAATCTACCAAAGATAACTCCAATTGTTATCTATAACAACAATATCCTTGTCCTTTGTAAATCTTTTGTCTTTTCTACTCTATTAACTTTTATTATTAATAATTGCTTTTTTGTACATTCTCTACAAAATTGTTGTTCCTAATCTCCTGCATTTTATGCATTTGATAAATTTATTTATCCAAAATTACAATATCATCAATAAGTCTCCTACTAGCACCTAGATATCTATCACTAAATAATCTATTCTTTGTATCTCTATTTTATCAAGAATTTATTTACTTACATTATACACCAATACACTCACTTACACATATACATCAATTTTTTTTTTATATTTTAAGTACACGCAATATATAGATATATATATATATATATATATATCCAAAAAATATGCATTCTAAAAATAAAATCTATAAAAGAAGAAAAAAAAAATCTAAAACTTTTCTTCAAAGATGTCAATAATGTCTATTGCAACCATCATCTTTTTAAATCAAACATAAGCTATTGATATGCTAGAATATTTTAGTTGATATTAGAAAATATTTAAATTAATGTCTTAGAATCTTTTAGGTGATATCTTGATTAGACATTTTTTACAATATATATATTCTATTTTTTTTTTCATTTTTTTATTTTTTACACTATTGCTTTCTAAATGAGTTTATTCAATCTTCTTCTTAGAATATTGAACTATCAACAAAGACTTTTCTTTTAACTAATTTGTTTTAAATATAAAATTCTAATAACGTTTTTAATTTTTTTTAGATAATATAACTTATCATCTTCAACTAAATATCCTTATTTTTTTTAAAAAAAATATTTATACTCTAACATCCACTCTTTCCAAACCTACAAATATTTTGATATGTGCCAAAATCTTAACACATAATAATCTTTCCAAACCTACAAATATTAAAATAAAATTAATCACTACATCATCAATTTTTATTTTTTGATTGAATTATTTGGACTAAGAAGCTTTAAACTCTTTATTACTAAACCATCCATTTCTTCTTTCAAATCATTTTATCTATATTTTTGCTATTAAAATTTTTAATATTGTTCCATTTAATTTTTAAAGTGAATAAGCTGCATTTTTATGCACACTTACTACTACATGTATATTGAAAGGTGCAATAGTCTTTAAAAGAGTGCTCTTTGTTCTACTTCACCAATTAGGATTCCATCAATTTTTAAAACCCCTCTCTTCTGTTGTTTGATTAAACAGAATACATGCTTTGTTATAAAATACAAATATATAAATTTGAAATATTTTATACGTGATGTAATAAATATTAAGAGATATAATTAAAATACAATAAAAATCTAATGAGTTTATATGGCTATACTATTTCTTACATTTGTTTTCTTTCCTCGAAATATTCCCTATCGATCAATAAACTTGTCTGCTTCTGAAGCAGTAATGAATCAATTAAGAAGCAAAGAATCAATTCTTAACATTCAAAACTTTACAATCATGATTATTTTGAATATGCTAAACAACTAACTCTACTACCATTGCTATACAATACAATATGCTATTACTAAGCTTGAAATCATTTCGTTGCAGACAAGAAACATGTTTATTGCAACATAAGCACACTGTACAGCATCCACTTCCTAGGAGAAAAGGAATTTCAACGTTTTCAGTGATTCATTCACAGGTTTCTTCATGTTCTTCAGTCACATCTGTTGCATCCAAAAACCATAATTAAAAAGTGCAACTCTGATCAGGGAACTCTCAGTACACAGGACTTAGTTTGCAAGCAAGCTTCGGTCCATTGTTTGTTTTTCAGGCCTCAATTCGTCGTTTGTGAATTGGGCACTACGCTATGTTGCATTCCGCGTCGGCTGCTTCGTTGCAGACTATTATTGCACAGATTAACCTCGTTTTCAAGCCGTTATCAGTAGTGTAATTTAAGTTCTGATGAGTCTGGATATAGAAATATATGTTAACTCATACAATTGTTCAGCTTCACTAGAAGTAAAGTCCTGCGGTTTTTGTTCCCATTCATTTCTAGGATTGGTATGATCTATGTTGGAACCCATATACTGCGCACCAGGGAGTTACAAACAGATGCTCCTGTATTGAATAATACCGTCAACCATGAATGGAACTGCTGACTGCCGACACAGTCTAGAATATTGAAGATCACTGGGGAAAAAGCATCGAAAAGCAACGGCAATAACTCTAAATCTTTCGCAACAGGCACAAAGTGTAGAGCCATTGAGCTACATATTGGAGATGGTAAAGCCAATTGAGTCTTTTTGTTTTAAAAGAGTACAATTTCTTCACAACATTTACATTCAAGGCTAAGCTGGTAGGATTCGAAAATGTACGCTGGTGTTTAGTGGTCATTCACAACACTCACCACGCCGTCAGTCAAGCAGCAGACTGAAGGGTGCGGCCACCGCTAATTTCAGAAAATTGGTCGGCGACATTCTTCCGTTGGCGGAGCAAGCGTGCTGACAGCAAACCCATCTTCAAAGATGCTAACCTCTGTGGTTGTTTGTTCGTTCCAGGTAACTCAGTTACATTGAGCATGTCTTCACTTGAGAAGACTTAGTGCCATCCACAAACGAAATCTAAGAATACTACCAGTCCAACTGACAGAGGGTAGAGAGCCAAGCCAATGAATGCCATCCAAAGAGGGAAGGTTGTCCTAAATGCTGCCACTGTACCCATGATAAAAGTCGCAAAGAAAATCACGGATATCTCAGCCGAAAAGTCCCACAATAGGCCTCGGAAGTACACAATAGTCAAGAAAATTCCCAAGCATAAGGTGTTGTTCATGGTGACGGCACCGTAGATCTGCAACGAAGGCAAAAATCAGACTCTGCACCTTGCAGCATGACAAAATCGTACACAAAATGACAAGGATAACACTCAAATTAAATTTTCACGGCCAGAAAATGGAAATGTTCGTCCACAACTGACATCGGAAAACGTAAGCTTCCGCATGAAAAGGAAACCTTGACAGTTCAATACGTCATTCTGAGTGGCGCATTCTCTCGAGCAAGAATGAAGCAATAGGTGCCGCAGTCTAAGCTAACCAGATAACCTGCCCATCTCGATAATGAAGAGGTAGGAGCAACGTACCTGAGAGTAGGTCATGGAGATGTTTTTCTTGCGTTTCCTCTTGGCAAAGATGAGAGAAGAGATTGCTTCGCTGGAGTTAGTTGCTAAAGGTGTAGCAATGAAGGAGATGAAGAATGGCGAAATCCCAGAGGCTTTGGAAAAGCCACCGATTGCGTCAACTAAGGGATCAGCAAAGATGGCAGCGACTGCAGCTCCAGCGATCAAATAGCAAATCGCTTTGGCGATGACCTGGCCCCTGGTGGGGGTCCCTTTGCTCTCATCATCCTCCTCATCTTCAATAGAGTCTTCCTCTAATGAAGCCAGGTCGAATTTGGCGTTCTGCATCCACAAATCAATTTTTAGCTGGGTGAGTATAACTCCACGTTACAAGAAGGGGTACTCCCACAACCAGTAACTGAATTTTGATTAGGGCAGGTTCAAGCTGTAACTCTTCCATACGCGTGCTATTGTTTAGCAACAGGTGTAGCCCCAAATGATTCACATGCCGGGGGCATGATGAAGATACATCTTAAGATAGAACAACGATATTTTGTTGCTTGAAGCTGCGACACAGTTAACGACCACGAAATTGATTCCACACCTGAGCCTCAAAGTCCCAGCCGTGGTGATCAGAGGACTGGGAATCAATTGCGACAGCGCCATTCTTTTTCTTGGTGGCGGTTGAGGAGGACTTCATCCACCTCTTAATACCTTGCAGGAACTCATCTACTGAAATTCGGTTGTCCCTGGAGACATCGAACTCCGACATCCAATGCTGGAGTTCATCTTCATCAGGGACTTGACCGTTATGGCGCTCGATTCCTAATCCCAATATCAAACCCTTCAGCTCCGTCTTGGTGAGGTGTTTGTCGTTGTCGGGGTCAAAGTGACCAAATAACCTATCAAAGCGTTACAAGCATGTTAGAAGCGGGTCAATTTCAAGAATGCTTTCAGAACACTCCTGCTGTGAGAGCGGTGGTTGTTTAAAGTAAAACAATCAAATTTTCATTACCTATCAACGTCATGATTGCATGAGTGACACGAAAAGAAATAGAATACTCGCACTCGAAACTACAAACTTACTTCAGCAGCACCTCCTCGTTTGGTTCGCCAGAGGCCGTGAATAGATTGCCCCAGTTCTGTTGGTGCGTAAGGTGGGACACTTTGTGAAGAGCATGACTTCTCCTGTACCTATGCTGGGCCCACATGATTCTCCTTTCCTGAATCCAGGGAGCAACAAGCTACATCCAACATAGACAACAAACTCTTCAGAGAAATGTACTCGGAGAAGCAAATAGAGATTACCAGCACAAACGATCCATCACAAACCCATCACCATCTTCGACGGAATTCGCTCTACCTGGTAGGTGCAGTAGCCGATGAGGCTTAGTCCTGAGATAATAGCTGCCAAGGCGATGAAAAAATTCCCTTCTGTGTTCAATCCGATCAAGCGGGGCAATTGTGCCACGATATAGGGCAAAAGCGTGGCCATCATAATCCAAGACGCCCATTTTGTTTGTTCGTCGCTGGTTACTCCCGTTTCTATTTTTCAGAAAACCCAGAAAATCGACTTCAATCAAATGCCATCAACGGAATCAAACTTCCGCAAGCGATTGATCGGCTTCGCCGAGTCAACAAGAAAGTCCAATTATGTTTGCTGATTTTTTTCAACATAGACAGGAGAATAATCTGGCCACATGCCGGTTGATGTAGATTGAAGATACATTTACATAGATGGGAAACTTCATGCGAATATAAAATGGGTACCTGTCAGACTAAACCCTTTTGTTAACGTCCGATCCTTGGCCACAAGTTTGCCATTGGCTGGGTGCGGGATAAGATCACATCGGCCGAAAATAAGGCATGCTCCCCACAGTGCCGTGAGCAACATAACAGATGACCCGGCGACCAGGCCCATGCCCACAAGCACTTCCTGCTGGGCTTCCGCTTGGCTCGCACCCAATCCGGAAACTGCATTACAGAACACCCATCATTCGTTAGTAAAAGTTCATAAAAAGAGCTAAAACTGAACAGACTCACTAAGTATCGGTCAATTTCGAGTTCTAGCTGCAACTCTGCAGTAGGGCACGGAAGAGCAAAAATGACCAAGGACAAGGAATGCCACGTGATGAAATTTAATCTTAAAAGAATTCAAGCACAGGAACACTCTCATCTGCCAGTAGCTAAAAACTTCTCACATCGACAACATCTCAGCAGCTTTCCAAGCTCTAATGTGGGTCGTGCAGGTACTTGGCCAGGAAAAGTCCTGAACCTAATCTCACTGCAACAAATCACCAGCACCACAACGCTGCAAAACCCACGCAACCGGCGGAAAAAACCAACACCCTGGTGGTTCCAAACCAGAGGGCACTTACCCGTAATGAGCAACGCATCAGGGAAGGCGCCGAGGATGGGCAAAACCAGGCCCCCAATGATCCCAGGGCTCATCACCGTCAAAAGAAGCTCACTCCCGTCAGACAGCAGCTGCGCGGCCTGGAGCAACATGTACCCATAGATCACGAGAAGGGCAGCGTTTCCGCCCAAGCTCACGGAGCAGGGCAAAATCCCGTAGTGCTCCTCGCACACGCCCCCCTCGGCAGTCCCCCACTTGCCGAAGAGCCGCCCGAGAGTTACCCATGGCTTCTCTTCCTCATTCTTCTGCAAAACCGACTTGATCTTCCATACATCATGCCCGTGGACGGTATCCATGGCTGAAACTTCATCTGCTCGCACGCTTCTGGATTGCAGAAACAGAAGCACCGCGAGCACTGACACGCTTGCGGCTAATACATGCCACCCTCTCGACATCATCGTGCTTCTCGTCACTCCCTCCGCTTCTTCCACCCCTCCCTGTGCAGATCAGGAGAGAAACCAACAGGCCCTTCCGTATCGTTGCCGTTGCAACTTAAGGATCGGGTAGCAGGCACAGGAAACGGTGCCACTGAATGCGTAGCCGCAGCGTCGGCGGAGGAACTGGAGAGAATAGTGGAAATTGATTTATTCATACCGCCCTGGACCCCTCTCCCTCTGCCTATCCCCCACTCCCCCACCTTATATGAAGGAAGGAGGTCAACTGGGTCGGCAAATCAACGGCACTCTCCAATTTTTCTGTAAAGAATCGGCTCGGTGCTATATCGATTGCCAGCTGACGGTACAGATTTGACCCAATCTAGATATGCCGAATGCCCCCAGGTGTCAAGCATGACATCCACCTGCTGGGTGCCAATGAGATCGCGGCTTTCGCCACCGCGTGACCTCCTCGCCTTACTAGAGTCCGAAGTGTTCACACAGGTGGGTTGCGGATAATGTGAACTTTTTTCAGTTGCTTCTCTTGGCTAGATTCATTGAAAAAAGTGTTTCATCATTCTTATCACTGTTGGTGTTCAAACTGACGTTTTCACACCGTAGATGGATTTTTTTTAATCAGACTTTTTTTCTATTCTATGGTAATTATCGACTTTGTTTTTGAGACAGAGTGCAGTTTCACGGTAGGTGTTTTTTTTTCTGAATCGTTTAACATGATTCTGTAACCAATTTTATTTTTGTCTGTGGTGACAATGTTTGTTACTGAACTTTCTACTTCGTACATGTACCCTGTGTGTACACATATGTACTTGTGTTGTTGATTTATCTTGTTGATGAAACAAAGAAAGGACAACTTTCTTCTTTTCTCTTTTCTCTAGTATATTATTTTTAGAAGGTGTCATGAATAACTGAAACATATTTGTGTATTGTTTTCAACTGAGACATGGGGCTACTGTATCGCAGGATCGACGGTGGTTTCTAAGGAAAATGGCAAGGGTATGGACAGGACCCTTGAGTATGTTGTACTTGAAACAAACTGGCCTAGAAACACTGATGTACATGGACCTTTTTTTCTTTCCTATTCATTGCACTCTTCTAATACAATCTCTATGGTTTCCTAAACTCTACCCTGGATTAGGAAGTACACACAGGCAGACACAAGCAAAAGACATGCGTTTCCTATTTCCCACCAGGAAAGAGACCCTCAGAAGTGTGCAGTACTTGCAAGATTCGCACACCAATGGGTGTACAAATAGATTGCACATCCCAGGGAGTAATGGAAATTGCTCAAACAGAGAATGATTGTTCATGGTTAGGTAAATTTTCTTTCCAATTTTTGGGATAGGGCCTGTGAGCTGGAGGTGTGAATTTCAATGAGGTTCCATGTTTGGAAAGGATCCAAGCTGAGTATACCTTGTCTGAGGTGGCTGCACATCATGTAGAAGAAGGGAGAGGTATCCATTTTGGCAAGACATCCCCCCTGTTCTACTTTGCAAGGGAGTGATCTGTTTATAAACACCCCTCATCCAGGCTGGACATCCATAAAGCAGACTCTGCGCCCTGACTACTGCCTACCCCCTCCCCGAGGAACAGGCCGGGACAGGGTCCCTATTCATCTAATTACTCGTTGTTCCCAAGACAGGTTTTTAATGGATTTTAGTATGCGAACCCATACAGGAAACAGTAAGATAAAGGAGCTTGAAATGAATCAAAATCGACGATCGGAATGTCTATATATACTATCAAAACCATTCCGAAATGGCTATTGTGGTGTACTCTGACTAGAGTTTTGATTAGAAACTGTTTGTGTGCTGGCTCACCATCCAAGGACAGATTGAGTATTTGGAACTCTAGTTTGTGGTGGACGCCCGGATACGAGGGCATGATGTGTGCTGTGATGCCCGGGAATAAGTGGCTGCACTCTGCAACAAGAGCAGAACAACCACTTTCGGCTTTCCGTTTTATATCCGTAACTAGCATTCATTTTTCAGTTGGGCGTCAGTTTGCTACTGCAGGATGTTACCTGGATGTACGTGGCAGGTACCGAGCCCATCACATTCCCATGTCGATCTTGCCCCTACTGCACAGCACGTTTCCTACAGTCCAGCCGATCTCAGTGCCGAGCTCTAATTGCTACAAATAGGTGGATGTGAATTAGGCACGAGGTATCCATGCTTGATTACGGGGGGGGGGGGGGGGGGGGTGAGAGAAATTCTTCCCAACCATCCGCACAATCGACATTCACGATCCAGGGACCCGTTGATTGAGCTCGAGTGCAGAGAAAGGGTGAAGGGACGACGTTGAGGGCAGGAACGCAACGTGGTGAACTGGCCGCGTACGACACTCACCGACACCGCGTCTTGGATCTCCACTGCGCCACATGGAGACGCAAGTAGGGAGCCCACGCGGAGAGGGAGACAGGAAGAGATTTGCTTTCACAAGATCCCCACTCTCTTTTTGCAGCATCTCCGTCAGCGACGCAGCAGCATCTGCAGACGTGTTAACGAAGTCACGGGGGTAAAAACTGGAACGCAAAACGCGCGCTGGACTGCCCGGGCTTACTCGAGGTGTCACCAAAACTAGTGCAGCGAATCTGTCATGACAAATTCCTTTGAAGCTTAGCGCTCCCCAGCCATTCTCACCAGAACGCGAGGTGACCATCTGGGTAATCTCCAAGAATGGCAGTGGCACCATGCAGCCGGCCCTGACGAACAGTGCTGCTGTTGCAGCAGGCGCCGGCATCTCATCCCAACTTTGAACCACACTGCCTCTGTCGCAGCCGTCACTCCGACAAGTTTTGCTGTTCAAAGATGTGCAATGCGACAAATGCGAGGAATGCATCATCCACGGCAATCCCATCTGCAGCTCATACCCACAAAGGATTCCATGTCCACTGATCATGTCACAAATTCGACAAACTCAAAACCATGCACGGTTTTCAATCTACAATGTAGCAGATCCTTTGTTGACCAACCCCCACATCCAACCTAGTCAGGGGTGTTTCCATAAGTACAACGACTTATTGTTGATTAGGTTTGACATCCATTCATTAGAAATAGGTCAGGGTTGGTTAAAATAATGTTAAGTTGTGATCATAAATAGGTCGGAGGTTGATTATAATGATGTTTAGTTGTGATTATAAATAAGTTGGAGATTGATTAAAATATGATTAAAAAAAAAGTCAAAACTTGATAAAAATGATGTTAAGTTGTAAAGAATAAATAAAATTTATTGTATTTGGAATGAATTTGTGTTAACTATTAATATAAGTAGCAATTGTTGATTGGTCGGAGTAGAAAAATATAACATGATAAAATACAATACTTTTCAGTTTTGTAAAAGTTACATTCTTGAATTTGTAACCCACTATTAGTCATAATTAAGTTGGCTTATATATCAAAAATGGGTCAAAGAAAATCTTCAGCTAAAAAATTTATATATTTTTTGTTTTAAGGCCAAATTATATGAAAATACTAGAAATCTTCATCATTTCTATTTTCCTATGTGGAGGTATTTTTTATTTTATTTTTGTAATTATTGTAAATATGCTAAAATACTTAAATTATCAAAAATAGATTATCTATCTATCAAAGATAAGAATCTTGAAGAAAGAAATCCTCAATATATTCTTGTGTCATTGAAAAAGACTAAAAAGTCACTCAAAGATGATACAATATTAAACTAGAATGACTATTGTCAAAAACAAAAATATTAGAAAGTCTTGAAACAAGACTAAGGACAAGAAAGGCATTGATAAGAGTGAAGAAGACTTTATTCTTGCCTCCATATCTACTCTTAACTATGAGCTACACAACAATGTCCTATAGGACTTCTTAAACATGTTGACTTTGCAAGACACATATCTTAACTCGCAAGACAAATTTTCTATGTATGTGCCACATAGTTAGCTTCTTCCGAAAGCTATCAACACATGGTTAACTTATTGACAAAGTTTCTAACCTATCAATTAATTATAAACACATGTAAAGTCGAAGTAGCATCTATGAAACTTCTAAGAAGTTTCTATAAAAGTTATTATGAAATTAATATATTTTTATTTATTTTTATTTATTTCTATTTATTTCTATTTAATTATATAGATATTTTCTTGAATATACATATATATCCATGACATTATCTCTTCTTTTAGAGATGAGTTCTATGAAGAGAGATCATTATGTACTGATAAAATCTAAACTGCAGTAAATTGTATTTGCCACATACTCTGATCTTTGTTCTCTTTGAAGATAATTGATAGGTCTTCTTAGCCATTGATAGTGACCCATACTAGGGCAAAAAGACCATCTTATTATTTGATTGTTGTTGAGGCCTTTGTAACTTCCTTCTTTAGATCTTGTTTCTTTATAGCAAAGATTTGTTATTCTTTATCTTGGTTTTGATGGATGTAGTTGATAAAAAGCTTTAATTCTCTTTGTTGCATTTGTAAGATTTTTTGTTGGCTTCTATATGCATTTATTAATATCATTTCTATACCAATGAATAAGATATTCTAACATATTTTGGTGCCGCCTTGAATCTAAGACTTCTTCTACCTCAAACTCTTGATTATTATCCACTTCTATAAAAAGAGATAGTATTTGTCTTCTTTTTAAGATATTCACTATCTTATATGGCTCAAAAAGAGATGCATGAACTATGGAATGGATCTTTATATACTTCGGTAGATATAATCTATAAGCAATATGATTAACTTAATCACTAATAAAAAAAAAATCTAAGCCTATAATAATTCAACTTATCACAATGATAAGTAGTCTTGATATTGTGATGAAATAATCACACCTTATGACCTAGATTGAATTATAATTGTTCTATGTAATAGACATCTAAATCAATCTTTTTCCATTCTTGAACTCTCTTTAACTATACCTTCATTGTTCCATGTAACTCTCTTAAATGATTTGTCAAATCTTGTGCCATAAGATTATTAACTTTTAAAAAATTAAAAGTATCAAATTGTAGATAATAACCATAATTAATAAAAAAAGGTGTTTGTTGAATAAAAGAATGTATCAAATTATTTTATGTAAACTCTATCAATGGCATAAAGAATTGTCTAATCATATAAATGATAGTTGATGGTACACTTCAAGTACTACTCTAAAATTTGATTCACTTCTTTCATTTGTCCATCAAATTGAAGCTAAAAAGCCAAAGAAAGCTTTATATCTAACTTTAGAATGTTTGAAAGGATTCTCCAAAATTTTAATATAAATTGACTCCTTCTATGTGATGTAATATCTTGAGACAATTCAAAATAGTGATAGATATTGT